TGCATTCAGGTCAATCTCAATTTATAAATCATCTATGAGCTGCAAATCAAACCCTAAGTCAGACGTCTGGAATTCCCACTAACTTATTGTAGAGAAAATTTAAGATTATAAAGAACTTGAAGATGGGAAACATGTCTTGTAGTTTTCTTTTATGTTCCATAGCACTCACTGTAATATGTATTTGTGTAAAAAGTGTCAATTTAACATACTTATTATTCTGAATTTATTTTGAAAAGATAAGTGTGGATTATTCATAAATAAAAATCACCATTTTCAGAAATGTATATCATTTCCCCCACAGGATGATTCTTTCGTTCTCCCTTTTATTTATTTATTTTTTTAAAATTTTTTTTATTGTTGGCTGTTCAAAACATTACATAGTTCTTGATATATCATATTTCACACTTTGATTCAAGTGGGTTATGAGCTCCCATTTTTACCCCGTATACAGATTGCAGAATCACATCAGTTACACATCCATTGATTTACATATTGCCATACTAGTGTCTGTTGTGTTCTGCTGCCTTTCCTATCCTCTGCTATCCCCCCTCCCCTCCCCTCCCCTCTTCTCTCTCTGCCCCCTCTACTGACATTCATTTGTCCCCCTTGTATTATTTTTCCCTTTCCCCTCACTTCCTCTTGTATGTACTTTTGTATAACTCTGAGGGTCTCCTTCCATTTCCATGCAATTTCCCTTCTCTCTCCCTTTCCCTCCCACCTCTCATCCCTGTTTAATGTTAATCTTCTTCTCATGCTCTTCGACCCTACTCTGCTCTTAGTTACTCTCCTTATATCAAAGAAGACATTTGGCATTTGTTTTTTAGGGATTGGCTAGCTTCACTTAGCATAATCTGCTCTAATGCCATCCATTTCCCTGTAAATTCTATGATTTTGTCATTTTTTAATGCAGAGTAATACTCCATTGTGTATAAATGCCACATTTTTTTTATCCATTCATCTATTGAAGGGCATCTAGGTTGGTTCCACAGTCTTGCTATTGTGAATTGTGCTGCTATGAACATCGATGTAGCAGTGTCCCTGTAGCATGCTCTTTTTAGGTCTTTAGGGAATAGACCTAGAAGGGGAATAGCTGGGTCAAATGGTGGCTCCATTCCCAGCTTTCCAAGAAATCTCCATACTGCTTTCCAAATTGGCTGCACCAATTTGCAGTCCCACCAGCAATGTACAAGTGTACCCTTTTCCCCACATCCTCGCCAGCACTTGTTGTTGTTTGACTTCATAATGGCTGCCAATCTAACTGGAGTGAGATGGTATCTTAGGGTGGTTTTGATTTGCATTTCTCTGACTGCTAGAGATGGTGAGCATTTTTTCATGTACTTGTTGATTGATTGTATGTCCTCCTCTGAGAAGTGTCTGTTCAGGTCCTTGGCCCATTTGTTGATTGGGTTGTTTGTTCTCTTATTGTCTAATTTTTTGAGTTCTTTGTATACTCTGGATATTAGGGCTCTGTCTGAAGTGTGAGGAGTAAAGATTTGTTCCCAGGATGTAGGCTCTCTATTTACCTCTCTTATTGTTTCTTTTGCTGAGAAAAAGCTTTTTAGTTTGAGTAAGTCCCATTTGTTGATTCTAGTTATTAACTTTTGTGCTATGGGTGTCCTATTGAGGAATTTGGAGCCCGACCCCACAGTATGTAGATCGTAGCCAACTTTTTCTTCTATCAGACGGCGTGTCTCTGATTTGATATCAAGCTCCTTGATCCATTTTGAATTAACTTTTGTGCATGGCGAGAGAAAGGGATTCAGTTTCATTTTGTTGCATATGGATTTCCAGTTTTCCCAGCACCATTTGTTGAAGATGCTATCCTTCCTCCATTGCATGCTTTTAGCCCCTTTATCAAATATAAGATAGTTGTAGTTTTGTGGATTGGTTTCTGTGTCCTCTATTCTGTACCATCGTTCTCCCTTTTAAAAGTTGACGTTGACAAGTAATTTCAGGGCTTTCATTCTGAGAGTCTTTTGTCTTCCTACTGGTATGAGGGGGAAACTGAGAAGACTTTAAAGGAGGCTGACCTCTCAAGAATTTTTGTGTGGGGAATTACTAAAGCATCGAATTCCATAAGCCATTTTTGCCATTTTATTTTTTATGTATCTTCAACAAGTTGTACTACAGAGTAAAAGTTTGTAATTTTTTATACTAGGACAAATCCAACTTCAGTCTCGAAGTAAGTGCATTTTAATAAAAGCTGTCTGTTCAACTTTGGGCTCAGACTACCTCAAACTGTTCTTTTAGAATAACAAATTTTATAACAAATTCTAGTTTGTGTATCTTAGTTTTTTAAAAAAATAACATGTATAGTTTTATTCTGATTACAAAAGTAACATCTTCATAGAATACAGTTCTGTGATATTTTGTGAAATAATCAAGTATTTACATTTGGAACAAGTGACTTCTTCCTTTGAAGCTTAAAATTCCTGTGTTTCTTATTTTGTTTACAACTAGCAATTAGAAAGTGGGGAGGGACTGCCAGATCATTTTTCTTGCTTCATTATGTCCCTGTACTTGGTGAGGATTGTTTTCTTTCTTATGCTCTTTAGAACAGTAATGCTGTGGTCTACTCTGAATCTTTGTTAACTATTATATCCAAGGACCTAGAGCAGTGCATGGCTCCTAGGAAGTCTCAAATATTTGTTGGGTGAGAGAATAAAGGATCACTTGTTCTGATATGGATGTCTTTAGTATGCATTTTAGTTTCTTTCTTACTCATCAAATACATTGTGAAAGTTGGGCATTATCCACTGGAGTTTGCCTCATTCTCTGGACTCTAATATAGTATGCTATTATTTCTGGTAACAAGTATGCTTTTGTGAGGGTAAGAGAGAAGGAACTTAGAAATGAAGAAATTGGTGCAGTCTGAAAAGGCAACTCTGTAGAGACAGAGAATGGATTAGTGGTTTCCTGGAGTTGGGGTTGGAAGTGAGAACAGAGAAAGACTGCAAGCCAGTAGGCAAGAGGGGTCTTTTTCTGTGTGAAGGAAATGTTTTAAATTAAATTGGGTGATCATTGTACAGATCTGTAAATTTTATTTAAAAAATCATTAAGTTGGAGCTGGGGCTGTAGCTCAGTGGCAGAACACTTGTCTCACATGTGAGACACTGGATTCAATCCTTAGCACCACATAAAAATAAACAAGTAAAATAAAGTCATTCTGTCCATCCACAACTACAAAAAAATTTTTAAAAATTATTAAGTTGGTAAAATGAGTGCATTTTATGGCATATAAATTATAGCTCAATAAAACTGCTAAAACCAAGGTGGAAGTTAAAAATATTTCAATTTTTTGCTCATTGGAATACAAGTTACTTTGAGTGTAACTTGTTGCTATAGACAAATGACTGCTTTACTTAGAACCAGTTTTCCTACAAAGTATTTCAGAGCAGAGGAATGTTAATTCTATTTTTTAGTAAAATATGTTCTTTTGTGATATTGGCTTAGAGCTTATAAATTTCTTTATAAAATATCTTCATTCTAAGTTGTCTTAACCTCGGTTAAGAACAAGTTTAGTTATTTCCAAAGCCATGAAAGAAATAGGTATAATTATTTTACGTTGCTGATATTTTATTTTTTCTGGGCTGCAGAGTTACAACATAGTGTATTTTCTACTTCCTTTCTAAGAGTTTGGTTAATTTATCTAGATAGCTTTGTTTTCATTTTTAAAATTCTAAACTGATATATAGAACATAAAAATTGTACATATTTAGGGGGTATAATGTGTTCAATATATGTTTACATTGTTTAATGTTTAAATAGAGTTAACTATATCCATGTCCTCAAAACATCATCTCTTTTTGGTGAAAACATTCAAAATCCTTTATTCTAGCATTTTGAAATGCACAGTTGATCTCATAGATATTGGAAATAGAATGATGGTTACTAGAAGGTAGAGAGTAGAGTGGAGAGGAAGAATGTTCCAGGAAGATAGATCAACAGGCACTGAGTTGTAGTTAGGAGTAACAAGTTCTGGTGTGCCTAACAGTAGGGTGACTGCGATAATGATGATATACTATGCTTATTTTTAAAAGCAAATTATTTATGGACTACCCCCTCCCATGTATTATCCTTGATCTTTCTTTTTTTTGGGGGGGTGGTATTGGTTGGTTTCTTGTTTAGAAGATCATTTGTATTTTAAAATTATTAGTTGTGAGAAAAACTTTTTCCATGAAACTGGTATTCTCATTCAGATTTTTTGTATATTCCTAAGGATACTCTGCATATGCCTCTTCCAAGGAAGCAAAGCATCTTAAAAATTTTAACTATGTCCTAAAAAAATTATTTATAAAAGTTTTTCATAGAAATAAAAAAACTAAATAGTCTAAAGATATAATTAAGATTATTGAGAACAGTTGGCTCTCGAGTCTGACAGTATCAAGCATTGGCAAGGACATTTTGTTCTCAGCTTAAAAGATATGGAGTGATTATGCACTTCACATTTCCATTTCCTTTCTGAGAAATTGTATAATTGTAATCCAAAATGTGAACTATAATTTTGCATATGTGAATATGTATGGTTGTGAATCAATTGCTTAGAAGTGTTATTTTTTTTTAATGTTTTTTGGTACCAGGGATTGAACTCTCAGGCACTCAACCACTGAGCCACAGCCCCAGCTCCTTTGTGTATTTTATTTGGAGACAGGATCTGAGTTGCTCAGTGCCTCACTTTTGCTGAGGGTGGCTTTGAACTCATGATCTTCCTGCCTCAACCTCCCAGCTGCTGGGATTACAGGCATGCATCACTGTGCCCAGCAGAAGTATTACTTTAAACAAGGCAAAATATATTAGTAAATTAATCTTTGTTGGATTAAATTTGTGTTTTTATACATTTTTAATTGATTATAAAACAAAAAATTGTGATTCTCTGAATAAACATTAAATAGTAAGTTATCTTTCCTTGTATAGGTGTGTTTTGGGGAAATAGTTCAAGGTATTGCTTTATTCTTAAATCATTCATTTCCCCTCCTGTTCTTTTATTTTGATTTTTTTAGAATTTTGGCCCCCAACAGTAATTATCAAGATGTCGAAACTCTCTATAACTTCCTAATCAAGTATGAGGTATGAGAAATATTTTTAAATGTTTATCACATTTCTATTATTAGCAAGTATTAATATAATTAAATATAGATGTTCTAAAACACAATGTTTGCTATTTAATTAGACATTCATTTTAAATTATTGAATGTTGTAGAAGTTTGCCAGCAACATATTTTATTTTCCCCTTTTAAAAAAGTGTATGTATTTAAATTGTATAAAATGATGTTTTTATATACATGTATAAAATGATGTTTTATATACACTATATACATAGTGAAATAGATACTATAATCAAGTAAATTAACATCCACCATCTTACATAGTACTCTTTTTTTGGTGTGGCAAGAGCAACAAAAATCTATTCTTTCAGAAAAAAAATCCTAAACATAGCACTGTTATTAACTGTAGTCTTCAGGTTGTACATTGGCTGTCTTAGAACACTCTCCATATCTTCTACTCTGTCTCCTTTGACCTACATCTTCACATTCCTCCCCACTCCCTGCCTGTAACATACTCAGTTTTTAATTTTGTTCTCTAAGTAAAAATACAATAGTGTCCTAAAATAACACAGTTGCTTCAGCACAGAATTGTTTCTCATCAGGGATGTGTTGGCATTTTGGACAGGTCATTTCTTCATTGTGTAGAACCTTGCAGGATGTTTAACATCCCTACTCCTCAGGCACTAAATGCCTGTAGCTCTCCTGGTCATTGTGACAATCAAAAATATTACCACCCCACCTGACTCACATACCCAAAATGACCCTCAGAGAGGAAGAACCCACCTCTGTTTGAGAACTGCTGATTACAGGAAAGAAAAGTTCTCTAATTTCGTTTCCTCTATTGAAACAGCACAGACCCCAAGTTAGAGCCGTAAAGAGGGTGCAGTGTGTTTTGTAAACTAACCTGCATGCTTTCCTCATCATTGCCGATCCAAGAAAGGATTCTGTTGATTTTCAGTTTTTGTTTGCCTAAAGCTCTTTGCCCCTCTTCTCTATATATTCCTTTTCTCAGTTTTGCTCGTGTGTGTGTGTGTGTGTGTGTGTGTGTGTGTAATTCTTAAAATACCCTAAGTGAAGGAGTTTTTGTGACACATGTAGGTTTCACATTTCTTAAGGAGTCCAACTCCTTTAAAATATATTCATTCACTTTCATTACTGGTTAGCTCTTCATTTAACTTTTTGTAAATAACGAAAACAACAACAACAACAACTGGGCATGGATTTGGTCCCCAGTACAGCATAGATAGGATAGACAGACAGATCAGGATGGGAATGTAGCTCAATGGTAGATCACCCCTGAAGGGGGTGGTTCAATCCTCAGTACTGAAAAAAGAAAAAAAAAAAAAAAAGACAGTACTTCAACATACAGGTAAATGAAACATTTTCTTCACAAATATGGTGAATTTCTTATGAAAACATTGAAGGAGATCTTGGAATTTTGCAAATAAGCAATAATACCTTGAACTCTAGACTTTTTAATGATATGAATCTTTAAAGTGGTATTAATTAATCCAGAATAGAAACATTTTATCCACCAAAACTTCATACCAGTTAGTAGCTTCAAATATTTTAAAAAGTGAATCAAATAGAAGATAGTATTATTGCGTTTCCCTCCACTCGTTCCTAGTTTCTGAAAATTTAGGTACTACTATGCTATTTGTTATCCAATTAAAAAAAAATTTCCCTTTCTACAAATTCCAGGTTCTTCCTTGTACATAAATAGAATATAGCCTACATTAGTAGTAAGCTTCGGGAAACAAGATTCCTTCACTTTTATGATTTTGTGAATCATGTCTCTGAATTATACTATTTATTAATTTAAACATACTAGTTTAAATATGTAGACTTAAATAGTCTGAAAAATACAGGTTTTTTAGATAACATCTACCAAACTTTTTCCTAAATCAAATATAACTTTCCACACAGTTTACAATTTAATTGTTTTTTTCTGTCCATTTGAACTACAAATGATTAGGTGCTCTGTTGAAATTCTCACTACGTTCACACCTGTATACTGGTTTTATAAGTTTTAATAATAGGACCAATATTTTCACACATAGTTCATTATTGACATTATAGTCAATGAGCTTATTATTACTGGCCAGTCCTTTTTAAAGCAATAACTAGAAACTTGAGATTCTGCACCTGCAAAACGTGGGCCATTCAAATTGCACTGTCATCACTAATTGCACTGTCATTTGATTTGGTGTTTCTTCTTCTTATCTCCTTCCCCCTCCCCCTTCCCCTTCCCCTTCCCCTTCTTCTTCTTCTTTCTTCTTCTTCTTTTTTTTAATGTGGTGCTGGGATCTAACCCAGTGGCTCAAATGTGCTAGGCATGTGCTCTACCACTGAGCCACAACCCCAGCCCCTTAGTATATCTTCTTAATGACTATATATTTTTTTTTTCAGGTAAATAAAAGTGTCACATTTACTGCCCAGGAACTTTATGATTGTGTTTCACAGACTGAGTATCGGTAAGCCCTATCTGCTTGTAGATATATCATCATAACAAGCTTTTACCATATTTGGTGCTACTTGGTGGAGGTGGCCAATTGTTCTAAGTTTTTGCACCACACTATGAATTTTTAAACATTAATTCGAAGTATTTTATACATACAAAAAGGCCTTGTGTGTGTGTGTGTGTGCGTGTGTGTGTATCAGCTATAAAATTTAAAGTAGTTCTCACACTTTTTGTCCTCAAGTCTCCTTTATATTGTTAAAAATTATTGAAAGGCTCAAAGAATTTTTATGTGGGCCATATGTATCTATATTTACTGTATTAGACCTTAGAACTGAGAATTTTAAAATGTTTACTAATTTGTTTAAAAATAACTGATTACTACATATTAAGTAATGTCTCCACAAACAAAAATATTACTGACAAAGGAGGCATTGTTGTGCAGTTTACAAATCTCTTAATGTCTGGCTTAATAGAAGACAGCTGGAATCTCATAACTGCTTTTGCATTCTGTTGGTTGTGATAATCATGTCATGTATTGCTGGAAAACTATTCTACATTTTGGAGGAAATAGGCCTAAAAGGCAGATAACATCTTAGTCTTTTTATGAAGGTAGCTGTTTATTTTTTGACATTGTAGACCCTCTGAAAGAGTCTTAGATTCGCTGAGGTCCCCAGATATATTTTAAAGAGCAGTTAGTATAAAGAAAACCCTTTGCTTAATTTATTTTTATGTGGCGCAGGGGATTGAACCCAGTGCCTCACATGTGCTAGGCGAGCGCTGTGCCACTGAGCCCCAGCCCCAGCCCCCAGATTCATATTTTGAAAACTAATTCCCAATGTAATAGCTGTATTAGAAGATGGGGCCTTTGGGAATGGGATTAGACCCTCATGAAAATTCCTCAAAGAAGTAGCCAGCCCTTCTACCATGAGAGAACATGTAGAAAAGGCTATCTATGAGAAAGAGAGTCTCACTAGACACTGAATCTACTAATATCTTGATCTTGAATGTCCCAGCTCCAGAACTGTTAGAAATAAATTTGTGTTTATCAACTAATCAGTCTAAAGTATTTTGTTACAAGTGCCTGAATGAACTGGACAGCTGTTTAATTCTAGTCCAGGTAAAGAAATTCATAAAGGGCAAAAATCCTTCAGTGTTGTCCTTCTATCCCCTGTATACCATATTCTATTTTAACTTAACATTGAGATCCATATGGATGCATGGAGCAGTAGTTGGTTTATAGTCAGTTCTGTTTTGACAGGTCATATGCCTTCCTAAATATTAACCACTGCCTTGTGCAAAATCATGCAATAAAAACCACAGGGCCTATGCAGAAAATGGAGTTAGAGACCCACACCTAAAGTCTTCAGAGACATGTTAAAAAAAAAAAAGTATAGAAATCAATAAAAATGGTATGATAGTTTTATATATGTTAAATGGCTAAGGAATACATGAATGCTATAACAAATCTGGTGTTTTACCTTGAAAAAAGACCTGAAGTTTGCTTGTAGAAGTGGTCATGAAGAACGGCTACAGTTTGAGGCTTGTCTGAAATTGGATTGAAGTTTTAATACCAGAGTGGTGGATATAACTCATAACACACTTGGAGAACTTAGGTAGTTGTTGTGAGTTTGATGTGTATGAATGTGGTTTTTTGTTTGTTTTTTAATAATAATGTTTTTTTGAATCTTTATTTATTTTTGTATGTAGTGCTGAGGATTGAACCCAGTGCCTCACACATGCTAGGCAAGCGCTCTACAACTGAGCCACAATCCCAGCCCTACATAATTAAAAATTATGTTTTTAATTCCTAAGTAGCTTGTTTAGCTGGGTGCAAGTTCCTCTGTTCATTTATGCTACTCACTACCAAACTTGTGTATAAGCAAATTGGAAATTTGTGCTTTGTTTAAATTGTACTTAATGTATGTCATTTCTGTGCAATATGTCATTATATCACTAAAGCAGAGTTCATTCACCATGTACCAGTGTGGCTAAAAGTTTTATGAGCAAGCCTAGAGACAAAATGAATTATCAGAATGCTTCTACTGTTAAAACTTTAGATCAATAAATTTGTTTGATGATATCAAGACACTAGGATTAATAATCATGCATAGATGTTTCAAAGCAGCTATGAATGTTAAATCACTTGTTTTAAGTAAGTTCCAAGAAAATCTGAAGCCACTGGGCATCTATAGGTCTGTTAGAGTTGGGAAAATGATTTCTTACTCTTAACTTCAGAATATTAGTGAATCAATTGGAATCTTATTTGTACATCTTTCTGGATAATCTATCTTTAAATTAAAGGCTTATGTGAAATTTATGTCCAAAATATAATGTCTTCTGATCTTAGCCACATTTTTGAAGATACAAAAAGCTCATTTTATATAACATGGAAACCAGAGTCTTTTAAGGATGGTTCCAATCAGAAGTCAAAATTATTTTGACTTCAGCTTGCTTTTGGAATAGTTGTATTTGAGTATTAATAAGCTCCCTCTTATACTCAAGAGAATGATTTTGAAGATAAATACATTTAGTATCTTGAATGCATTTGGTTAATAGCATTTGGATTTGTTACTCTCGTTTCTTTTGAAATTATTTGTATAATTTCAATTATTTGTATAACTGTATAGTATATTCTGCTGTGTGCCATAGCTCATAATTTTCAAATAAGCTGCCAAAAGAGACAGAGTCTTTTGGTTTCACTGGTTTGTGAGACACAGGACCAAGTGCAGTAGATGAAAGGTTGCACCATAACTGAGAGGTGAAAACAGATGATGATTTAACATGCATGTAGATGGTATTTTGTGGGCATGTTAAGGGAAACAGTTACTTAAATTGTCTGAAATGGCTGGTATGTATGTATGTATGTATGTATTTATTTAAAGTGTTCTAAAAGAGGAGATTGTTGATGTGTCACAGCAGATTATTGCAATAGGGAGGTATGAAGTAATAAGAAATTTGTGTCTCTGCCTGTGGTTGCTGAGATGGAGCTCTTTTGCTAGGAGATGCTTATTTTCTAGTACTTCGTCTCTGATCTCAGTTCCTGACATAGAACTCCGACCATCCGTAGAACTCCTGGGTGTTAGGAGCATCTTTTGTTCTAATGAAGTAACTATTGGCTTTTGGAGAGGGTTGGAGTCTGAGTTAATAACTGATTATGCCCACAATAGGAGGCCGCCCTTAAAATTCCTGAACCCTGAGGTTCAGGGAAATCTTGGTTGCTGGACATATGGAGGTGCCTAGAAGTGGTATGCCTGTGTGTATGCATGCATCTCTTCATTTGGCTGTTCACTTGTATCCTTGATAACCACTTATAATAAATATGTAATCTTAAGTGTTTCATTGAGCTGTTTTTTGAGCAGATCTTTGAACTATCCTAGCAAATTAAACCTGAGGAGAAAAGGGGGTCGTGGGAACTTTGATTTATAAATAACAAACTATTACTTGTGTTTGGCATGTAACAGGCAGTAATTTTGAGGGACTGAACTTTCAACTAGTGGGCATGGATTCCAGGTAGATAGGATCAGAATCGGATTGAATGAGACACCCCCTTGGTATCCACTGGAGAGCTGCTTGAAACCCCCATCCTCTCACATCTGGTGTTAAGAGAAGTGTGTGTGTGAGTATAGGTACAGAAGGAAAAAACTATTTTCCTGTCTTAAACAGGAGTTCTTTAAGTAATTCAAGAATATAAAAACTACTCTAAGGGTTCTAAAAAAACAAACAGTGTATTAAGGTTTCAGATTAGTTTAAATCCAAGGTTAAATTCCATAGTGCAGGTAGAAACCTGGTGCTATATCTATAATTCAGTTGGTATTTTCTGTTATCTCTAGTTTTTGGATGCTTTCAAGTAGGTTTTATCCCTGCTAGTGGAGTGTATGAGCACTGCTGCCCTGCACAGGTGACCAGTTTGTTCAGAAAATCCAGGGCAGTAAATTAACAGGGTTATCACATAGAATTCCAGCCAATCCCTGGTGTGACATCTTCTACTTAGATGAGAAATAAGCTAGGAACAGTATTAATTTACATTTTTTTTCTCCTTAAGTTTTGACAGTTTTCTGGAATGTTTGTGAGCAAGTCTCTTACGATAGTTTTTAAAAATTTGAAATATAAACTAGTTTGTGACATCAGCCTCAAAGTACCTGATTGCATGAGACAGATAGCAAACCAAAATTTCCTGCTGTCAAACTTGCCACTCATTCTCAGCGGATACCAGTTGGATATAATTCAGTAATTTAATCCTTTTTGGGTTCTCTTAATTTGCTAGAGTGGTTCACAGAGCTCAGGAAACACTTTATTTACATGCACCTATTTATTATGAAGGATATTCTTAAAAACACAGGTAAATAGCCAGATGAAGAGATCAATCATGTGAAATCTGGAAGGGCTCCTGGGATTGGGGTACACCCACCCTCTTAGCCTATGCATGTGTTCTTTTTCATCACCCCTGATGCTCTCTGACCCAGACCTTTTGGGATTTTATGGAGGTTTAATTTAAGAAGGCATGGCTGGTTAAATCATTAGCCAGTGGTGATCAATTCCATCTTTAGTCCCTCTGCCCTCTAGGTTGTGGGTAAGACTGTCAGTTCCAACTCTTTAATCACATGGGTTGCTTCCTGTGACAACCAACTGAGGCTGAGCTTTATCCTGAGGTTGTCTGGGAACCCCCAACCCTCAGTCATCTCATTAGTACACAAAGGACACATCACTGGAGAATCCAAGGATTTTAGAAGCTGTGTGGCAGGAATGAAACACTAAGCATACATTCCTTGCTATAAATCGCAATATCATACTGGCAAATTCAAGTAATATATTGCCTAAAGCAGCATATGCATCAGAAACTTATTTGTTTTCTCTTGGCAAGTGCTTTCAGGAATTACTGCATTCAGATTCCAGCAATCAGCACCATGATAATATCTTCAGGATTACCCTAGAGTTAGAGCTCCCTAAGTGGGACCTGGACCTGACCAGAGTGTGCATCACTTAGAAACTTGTGAGAAATGCAAATTCACACTAGTCATTATGAATCAGAAACTAGGAGTAGAGCCCTACAAACGGTTCTAACAACCCCTCCAGGGCAGACTGAAGTTTCAGAACCTTTGTGTTAAGTTAGGAACTTGGTTTGTCCTAGATTTAGACAGAAAAACAGCCTTAGAGAACAATAATCTAAAATATACACTTTCTGATATAATTAGAAAAGAATGGCATAATGTTGATGGTCTTTGATTTTAATGGGGTTACATCCTGATAAACTTGTCATAAATTGAAAATATCCTAAGTTGAAAATGCATCAAATGCACATTAAAATATCCTAAGTCAGAATGTACTTAATACATCTAACTTGTTGAATAGCAACATGGTACCCTGTAGAGAATTGATCCTTTACCCTTGCAGCTCCATAGCTAACTGAGAGGTAGCTTACTCCCATTTCCCAGCATCTCCAGAGATCTCAGCTTATCACCAGTCTAGGAAAATATCAAAATCCCAAGTACATTTTCTACTGAAGCATATTGCTTTTGCATCATTATAAAGTTGAGAAATCGTCAGGAATTGTCTGTATGTGGTATGAGGTAAAAGGTCCACCTTCACCGCTGCATTCATCCATATTTGCATATGTGAATATCCGGTTGTGCCAGCACCATTTGTTGAGATGTCATAGGAAAGCAGGGAGCTGAAACTCCAAACCTTGGTTCTTGTGTTCCGATGAAAGAAAATTTAAAGTCAGACATGGAATTATTTTTTAATTAATTGGCCAGATTACTATAGTTATTTTGACCAGTCTAATATTTAGTCAAAGCATGTTTGATACTCATATAAGAAAATTTAGAGAAAACAATGGCTGTTGTTTTGAGTAAAACAACATAGAATTGCAGAATTAGAAGCAACCTTCAATTTTGAGCAGTTCCAGAAAGGATCAGGAGTTGGAAGAGTTTAGCTTGGAAAAATAAATAGGTGTATGATAAGGGATTTCTGCTATCAGAGGAAAAAGGTAGAAAAAGTTGTTTTTGTTTTTTTTTTAATCTAGGCAGACTTGGATAATGGTTTTTACAGGCCCTAGATAAAGAACTTAGTTGCAATTGGGAGACATCTAAATTTAACTGAAGGTGCTGCAGAATGGCAAGCAAAGGGATACGGTGCCCCCACCTCTAATGTTCTGTCATCTAACGTGTAAGCTTTGGGCATAAAAAGGAACTGAAGAATTCCTGTCATAACAATCTAATAGTGTGTATATGAAACACTCTACGAAAAACAACCAGTACTTTCCTGGATAAGGAGAGAAGGAGGAGGGCGAGAAAGAGGAAGATTCAGAAGTTTAGTTACTGAAGGATATTTCTTTTCACATGTGAAATAAGTAACCAAAGTCAGTAGGGCCTGCCCTTTTTGTTTCAAATTTAAGTTTATAAGAAAACATTTTCATCTCTGCTATCTTGAACTTTTTTTTTTTTTAGAGAGAGAGAGATTTTTTTTTTTTTTAAATATTTGTTTTTTTTTTAGTTTTCGGCGGATACAACATCTTTGTTTGTATGTGGTGCTGAGGATCGAACTCGGTCCGCACACATGCCAGGCGATCACGCTACTGCTTGAGCCACATCCCCAGCCCTATCTTGAACTTCTTAAAAGGGTGTTCACAAAGTAATTTTCTTAATAGTTATTAAGAATTAGCAGCAACATGACACTCATTTTGAATTTAAAACATAGGAAGTAGGACTAGGGTAACTCAAAGCTAGAAGTCATATCTTAATGACTCAGAAACCACACATCCTCAGGAAGTGAGGTTGTTCAGAATATGGTGTTTATTCTTTGTTGTCTCTACACAATGTATATTCTGAATGGGATTAGGCATGGGATTATGTTAGGTTTACTTCCTGCTTCCCCATCTTGGCTTAGGTAGTTACTAAATACTCAGTCATTAATTGCTAGGCAACTTATGCCACAGTCCCTTTTTAAAGAGTAGCAACTCTATCAATTTATTGCTTCTCAATTTTCTGTTCCTTCAGGAGGTACATCCTCCAGTCCATGGTTCTTTAGCAAGACAAGATGAAGCCACCTGTTCCACAGTGTTGTTTACCCCTTGGTAGCATCTTAACATAAGCCTATCTCCTGCTAGGAAAGGTCCTTCAGAGAGCACGGCTAGATTGTTCAGCCTAGCCCATCATCCAAAGGATTGTTTCCAAGTACCCAACTTTGTTGACAGAGATTCACCCTTATTCCTGAATTCTGGAAATTGTGCCAAGGTCGTCTTGTGTTGGCTGAGACTCAGTGCACCTAAGTGTTTATTCTCCCATGTTCTGTGGTCTACTAAGAAACTATAGTTGGTATTATCTCTCAAATATCAAAGAATATATTTCAAATCCCAGTATTATCACATTGTATTAAGAATTTTTAATATATCCAGAGAAAATGGAATCAGAATGAATAGTTACCATGCACTCCCATCTTCATAACAGCATTAATTGTAATAGCTAAATGTGGAATCAACCTTAAGTGTTCTTAAGCTGATAAATGGACAAAGAAAATGTGGTATATATACACCTCTGAATACTATTTTGCCTTTAAAAAGAAGGAAATCCTGTCACTTGAGACAACATGGATGAACCCAGCAGAGATTAGGTTATGTGAAAGAGGCAAAGCACAGAGAGACAAATACCACATGATCTCACTCTCATGTGGGGTCTAAAAAAGTTGAACTCATAGAAGTAGACAGAATGATGGTAACTCTTCTGGGGGCAGTGAGTGGTGGAGGGTTGGGGAGATATTGGTCAAAAACCACAGAATTTCAGCTAGGGGTAGTAAGTTCAAGGGATCTGTTGTACCAGATGGTAACTTAAGTTAATAACAATGTATTTTGCAAATTGCTAAGAATAGGTTTTTAAGTGTTTTTGCCATAAAAAATGAGTACATGTAAGGAAAACATTTGTTAATTACCTTGACTGAGCCATTCCACAATGTATACATATTTCAGAAAATCATGTAGTACACAATTAATGTATAGGATTCTTATTTTTCATAAGAAAGAATATTTATCTGACTAGCTTTCATGTGGTGACTTAACATTTCTTTTTCCCCTAGGGAAAAGTTAACGATTGGGTGTCGCCAGCTGTTTGAGATGGAGTGTACCATGCAGCAGTGCAATGCATCTGTCTATATGGAGGCCAAAAACAGGGGATGGTGTGAGGACATGCTCAATTACAGGACTTAAGTGCTGATTTGTAACTGAAGAGGGATTGCTTTTGTCATCATGAATAACAGAGTAACTTTCAACCTGGTCTCTTTTTTGAGCCAAATTCTATTGAGAATTTTGAAGTTTTATAGGTACAAAAAAGTGATACTACTGACAATCTCATTGAAGCTCTGAAAAGCTTAATGCATCAGATGTGGGATAAATTGTTGATTCTTCTAGAGTTGACAATATGTCCATACCTCTATCTGATACTGAGCCAGTATCTCTAAGGAAAAGAGAGCCATCTTTTCAGTCTTACTATGGCAGAAGCCATTGTGGCATCTGAGGAAGGCCCAGGACACATCATTAGCGTCTCTCCCAACCCTGAGTATGGGCACATGATCAGACACTGCTAGATGCTAAGAAAAAATTAGGACATGACCATGCTTACCACATTCCACAAATAAAATCTCGTCCTGGGTTGGTTTTGTTGTTTGTTTTTCATGGTACTGGGATCAAAACCAGGGGTGTACTACCACTAAGTTACATCCCCACCCCTTTTTATTTTTTGAGACAAGGTCTAAGTTATTAAGGCTGGCCTTGAATTTGTGATCCTCCTGCCTCAGTCTCCCAAGTTGCTGTGATTACAGATGTGTGTTACCATGCCCATCTGTCCTGGGCTGCTCTTATGATCAAACTTTGAGTCAAGTAAACCTGGTGGAAATAACACCACTCCCACCTTCCTCTGGTAATGAAAGAATTTTGACTTTAGTTCCTATCTTTCAATTCAGCTCTTCTTTCCTTCTCTTGGCTTATAGCTTTTCAGTTCATTTCCAGTGGGGAAGAGCAAGGCAACCCCTATTGAATTGTTGCTTAGGTATGGAAAGCAACATGGATTTTTCAAATTAAGTGGCAGTGACTGATGTTTGCCCCTGTCTGAAAGCAAGTGTTTAATTGACTTGTTTCTTAGTTATGTAGCAAGTTGGAAATCCTTGTTTACTGGTGTGTATTGTCCTTTTGTTAGTATATTAGACTAAATCAAATTTGGAATTCTATTATAAATGTTCATTTATTTTTAAAAACGAGCAATAAATAACTTATTTTTAGAAAGCTTTGCTTTTCATTTTGCTTCCAAATAGTGTTTCTTAAATGAGTAAAATATGTAATTATAAAAGTGACCCTCAAAAGAGCCAACTCAAGATGCTTACTGGGAGTTGGTGCTGGACCCACTAAGCTGTCTGCAGTTAGGAAACTGCACCAAGTACACAGATGGGGCTGAGAGTGTCTGGGACACAGCAGGCTTCAGGAGAGTATCTCTGCTCTTCCCTTTTTCTCCTTGAGGATCCAAAAAAAGCACCCCCCCCCCCAAAAAAAAAAAAAAAACAACAAACAAACCTCCAACCCTTCCAGATCTTCATCCCTCACCTATTTTGTTTGTTATTGGGTTTTTGTTTTGCTCTGTGGATAATGAGTTTTACTTGGCATATTAATTTATGTCACTTCATTTCAACTTAACAATTTTTTATTTTATTGAGATACATTCTTTCTACTTTTATATTTGTTTTTTAAATTTTCTCTAGTTGAAATGTTTGGTTTTTCTTTCTCCCCCCTTCCTTCTTTACCAATCGTAAGCTTTATTGTTAGTTTTACCCTTGTTCAACACAGGAGATTGCAAGTTCCCTTTTCCCCTGCTCTGTACTTTCTCTGGCTCCCCACTGTTTTAGAGTTAACTCACTTGGCTTATGAATCTCAAGCCCCATGCTGTATAACTTTAGGCTCTGAACTCTCCATTCTTTAATATGTATAGCTGGTATATTTGGGGCAGAAGCCATAAGAAGCATGCTGTGAACCCAAAGAGACTGATGAGAAAATTCATACCAGAGGAGGGACTTTCTATACAAATACCCTTGGCCTTGACCTACTGAGGAGCTTTGAGGGTGGGTATTCCAGCAATGTTCCATGCTTGGGTACAAGATCCCCTTTTATCTGCCTTTTCAACTTATTTAGAAAAAGTAAAATTTTACCAAAAAACTTGTTTCCCTCCTGGGAGGATTGCATGCTCCGGTTTGGAGAGTTCCCCAGCTCTCTCTATATTCAGGGCAAAGGAAAAGTGTTTTAAAAATTGAGATTTGTTGTATTCCACTGGGTCCTCTTGTTAGGACATGCAATTGTGGCAAAAGCCATAAGAAGCATGCTAAAACATTTGGGTTCACAGCATGCTTCTTAGGCAATTGTGGCTGTACACATTAGAATTTCAGAGACAGATTTCATTTTCACAATGTGGGTGTTTGTGCCCCATGTAAAATCAAGTGATGTAAGACAGAGCCAAAGTTCTTCCCTTGTTACTTTGAATGCAATCTTCAGGAAGAACAGAGGCCTTTTCAGGGCCAATCTACATTTATTTGGATAGTGTATTGGTCGATTTTCAGAGTTTAGGTTATAATGTTCATATTACTGATATCTGGCAACTCCCTAGATCAGCCCCCTACCGTGATGGATTGGGAGGAATTTATATCTTAAGGGAAATATAACTCATTACTGAAAAATCAATTATTCCTTTATAACCAAAGGTAGTGATGAATATAATGTTTATAGGACTGAATTTGTGGGTTGGCCTTCCCTTGAAGATTCATAGATTGTTGTTTTCTTGTCTTTCCTTCTCTTCACTCATGTTAAATTGCCTTAGGCATTATGTAGCACTTGGATTCTTCAGATTTGGGGGAACAAATTAAGTGACTGAAGCCAGCTCTGAAGATGCAGAAATGCTCTATTGGGACTGACTCTTTCCCTGACCACTTAAGAATTTGATTCTAGCAGTATATCATATCCCTAAATCAATTTGTAGGGAATTCTAAAACATTTTAAATAAATTCATGCCTAAGGATAGCCAATTACTTGGTAAATTAAAGGCAAGTATTTTACCTGGAGGTGGCACATACCTGTAACACCAGCAACTTGGGAGGCTAAGGCCAAGAAGAGCAACTTACTGAGACTCAGTCTCAAATTAAAAGGGGCTACTCGGTGATAAAGTGCCCTTGGATTATATCCCCAGCACCCTAAATAAACCAACAAAAAAATGCAAATGTTTTATAAAATGCTACTGTTTTAGAAAATCTAGTATGTTTTTTACATACTATTACAAGAAATCAAAGTTGTGGTGTTATGAATTATATTTTTAAACCATTCTATAACATATATTGGTAAAACCAAAACAAACCCCGAATTTTTAAAAATTATGTGACTATTGTTTTTCAGTTGTTTTCCCCCACATGAAAACTTGTGTTCAGGAAGATTAGCCATAATAACTTCTTAAAAAACGTTTAGCCACCAAACTCCCTGTTTCGTCATCAATGGTAATGCAGGAAAACTTCGACACAAAGCATTCCCATATATTATTTGCATAAAGCATGTCACTTAAGAAATGAAAAGTGATTTCAAGGATTTTAGTGCTGAATCCTCAACTTAAACTTTATTTCCTTGTGCTGAATAGAACAAACACAGATCCATAAACAACAGTCATCCTATTAGGCAAATTCAAATTTAAACTTCTAGTTTTAGTTCAGAAACAAACCAGAGACAGATGGTTAGTCAGGAACTACACAGTAACCAGGTGAACTGATTTCCTTTCTTGGTTTTCTGTAAAAACAGATGAGAGAAAGGTGGCAAAGTACCAGAGTACCAACGTATTTCAAGAAAATATTCAATTTTTTTTCCTAACCCAAGTTAGCTACTGAATAGTCCTCTCATCCTACATGGCTCATTAGGTTCCTGTGTTTCATTGTCTGTGACAAGAAAAAACACCTTACATTATCCATTTCTTTCAGATGTAATATGCCAGGTGGGTATTTTCCCCAAATGCTTTAACTCTTCCTCACTGAAAAATTTTCCCCCAAACTTTTAGTAATGAATGAGTACACAAACAACTGGGTATTAATCCCATGGTGCAAGGATTTCCTGCAAAGTACCTTTAATGTGTTTGCATCTGCAGCAAGCATTAGGACGTGCTAAGTTTAGCACCATCAGTTAGGCGTGTAACACTACACATTAGACACCAAATCATCCCCCAGATTTATCCATAAGAGCAAAAAAAAAAAAAAAAAAGAAAAACTGAGCAAAAACGTAGTTCTGATAAAGGCTGCATTCACAAACCCAACACAGTTTAAACTTTTTCAATCAAGGGCTTCTGTTTAGTATTCTTTTGTTAATGATAAATAAAAGCAGAATTATGGAAGAAGATCAAATACTTCACTGTTCTTTTATATAGTTAAATCTCTTGCTGAATAAACTATACCCTCAACAAATCAAAATACTTCAAACCAGTGTTTCAAATACCAAAAATCATCACTATGTTACTGTTCGGCAACTCCATTCAAAAAAACGTTGGTACTGCATTCTCAGAAGAAAAAAAAAATGCAGCTGAGCCAAATGCTTAAAAGTTTGCATTCTGAGCATTTAAAAGAATCACTCCACTCTGCATCCTTTAAGATTGCCACTCTGCTTCACTAACTTGAATCTGCCATATTTTACTTCAACAGGTAAAGCACTCTGCTGAGAATATAAAAAGTTATAAAAAGGCAATCATAAAAGATTAAATATTGGTAGGCAAGTTAGCTTTCTTTTAATAAAAACAAAAATAGTTATTGTCTTCTATTTAAATAAGTATCTTTTGTTATAGAGTGTTCCAGTTATTGAAAAAGGGCCCTTAAAAAACCCAACTGCCTACATCTTTAAACCCTACCCCCTCTTGCCCCATAATACACATTTGAGGGAAGAGTCATTTAATGTGCAAATTGGCAAAACAAATGTGGAGGAGAGGGGATTTCTTGAAATGATGTGCCCAATCAATTCTTGGTTTATTCTTTTACAATATCAATTTCCAAAAAGTAAAATAACCAAAGAAGTCTTAAAAATACACACAAAAAAAATCATCTTTGCATTCCTTTCCAAACACAAAAAAGTATGTACAGCATGTAATAATATGCAATATGCAAAAGCTTTGTGTTGCTGTTAGCAACATCTATACCCACCCACCCTCCTTATTCACAAGTGTACCTCTACTAAACACAATTACATCACTAAGCCTGTTAGTTTGAGAGGGTCTTAAAATGTGTTAAAACTGGAAAATCTTTGTGTAAGGGCTCCACTCATTTGACTCAAGGTTATAGACTTCGACTGTATTCAAAAATTCATTGCCATCAAATCCTCCCACTGCATAAATGGTACTCCCTACAGTTGTGATCCCAGCATTGCTCCTTGGTGAAGTCATATTTCCCATCATCTTCCATTCATTTCTAGTTGGATCATACATCTCCACACAACTGATAGCATGAGAACCATCAAAACCACCACCTACAAACAGTTTTCCTAGAAGAGAAATTAGACAGAGTAAATCTGAGAGGCTAAAGTAATGAAGAAAACCCCCAGGCCTGTTTTGTTTTCTTTCTTTTTTTGAAATGTGTTGTCCAGGCTGGTCTTTAACCCCTGGACCTATCTCAGCCACCTGAAAGCTTTAACCCCTTGCATCTCAGCCACCTGAAAGCTGGGATTACAGGGACATGCCTATCTGGGTCTGTCTCTTACTAAATGAAACTAGTTGTTTTTAAGTAGAAATGCCTATTAGTTCTGCCAAAAAGTATTAACTGCCTACATAATAAGGCAATAAGCATTCTCTAGAAGCTAGGGATACAAAATGAGTAAGGTGGATAAAAACGCATTCCCACATGAAACTTAGGCAAACTTGGTTGGGGGGACCTACAGCATCTAAGTCAAGTACAAGTCTCACAATTCTTTATGGTAGTTGCTCTAGGACATTAGGATACTTGCTACTATGTCCACACACTTAAGCTTTTCCCTGTGGAGCCATAAGCTACTAAGATTCAGCTTTGTTCCAAAAACAATGCTTACTAAATTGTTAAGATTATATAATTAGACATTAAGTAAATCAAAGAGATGTGAAAAGGCAACTATATAAAACGAAGTATAGAGTGGAAAATACAGGGATTTGCATTTACATTCTTTTGAAATCAAGTTAATTACTGCTTTGAAGGAAGGGAAACTCAAAATCCAGGATGATACATTTATTGGGTATGGTTTATGGAGTAAAAATGATTTGGAACTTTACTGAGTACACCCATCAAAAGATTGGTGATGCCTGTAATCCACAATTATTTTGGAAGCTGAGGCAGGAGGATTAAGTTGGAGGCCAGCCTGGGCAACTTAGTGAGACCCTGCTCAAAATAAAATGCTGGAATACAGCTCAGTGATGGAATGCTTGCCCAGCATGCACAAAGCCCTGGGTTTGATCCCCAGCACTGCAAAATGGAAAAAATAGAATATATATCAAGTTTTGAACTTCTGATTTTGAGTCTCCAAAGGACAAATGCCCAATTCCCATTGCATTAAAAGAGATGGCTGTTTCTAATTCTTAATTTTTTATAAGCATATAGTTATTATCGTTGACATTTTCTTGGAATTTTAGAACAAACTCTTGCCAGTATCTACCCTTCACCTCTTCAAATGTGGACACTTACCATCAAGAACAGCTACCCCAGCTCCTCGCCTCGCTATATTCATGGGTGCAATTAAAGTCCAGGTGTTATTCTCAGGATTGTAACGTTCTACTGTGTTCAGACAATTCCAAGACTCTGCACCTCCAATTATGTACAGATAACCACCAAGTTCACAGACTGCAGACTGGTGTCTACCTATAGAATCAAGTCAAACCAAGATTACTCCTACAGTTACCCAAACTATGTATTCTACACATACTGGTAATGTGTTTATTAAAAAAAAAAAAAAAAATAATGACTTACGAATGTTAAGAGGAGCACAGCTTGTCCATGACTTTGTTACAGGATCAAATACATCACAATTTTTCAGCCCCTTTTGACCATATGGATCAGAGCCACCAACAATGTATAACTTTCCATTGAGAGCACACACTCCTATGAAAGTATAAAATATGATTATATACTTATTACTTCATTTTCTTATTTAAATACTGGCTATCTCAGAAGAAAAATATCATTACCTGCATTACAACGATTAGTTCTCAACTCTGGAACAGGAGTCCAGTCATCGATGTTTGGATCATACATCTCTCCACAACTCAGGTCATCTGAGTGGCCGTTTGATCCACCTACCACATAGAGCTGACCCTATGCCAAAAGTAGGAGATGAAAATTTCTACCCTTCTGAAGTTATGAGAAAAAAAAGCTAAATATGGATTGTTTGTGCAACATGTGCTTACCATGAGTACAGCCATTTGAAATCGAGCTCTTGGCGTTCTCATGGGAGCAAGGAAGGACCAATGATCTGTATGTGGATTGTAGCATTCAACTGTTCGAAGACATTCTTCTCTGTTATAGCCACCTGTAAAAGAAACATCAAGATTAAATTGGGCTAGGCTTTCTAATCCAGAATGGCTTAGAGTATTGTGCACAATGAGAAAAAGTATGAAATATTAAGGACCCATTAGTTGATATTTTAACTAAATGCTTCTGTTAGTTGAGAATATGGAATTATTCATATAACTGGGAAAGGAAAAATTTGCCCCACTCTATATTGTCTTTTTCTTTTTTTAAATTAGAAACTGGGCATGTGGCTCACTAGTGCAGTAGTAGAGTGCTTGCCTAGCATGCCCTGGGTTTAAGTCCCAGCACTGTGGGGGGAAAAACAAAACAAAACAAAAAAACTCCATAGGAAAATTGAAACAAGATACTAATCTTGTTTCAGTTCACAAAACAATAGTATTTACTTGTTATTAGTGTGCAGGAGAAACAAAGTACACTATACTCCCAAAATGTGTAGGCATGCCACAAGCAAATAAAAATGCCTTACAGGCTTACCTGGTTAAAGTCAAGTCACCAATCCTTTTGGCCTTACCTGCAGCTATGAGTTTGCCATTCATCTCTGCTGTACCCAAACCAGATCGTGCATACTGCATGGGAGACATGGGCTTTTCTATTAGTTCATCTGGCTGCATCTCAAAGCTTAAACTCTTGACTAGTTTTGGAGTACTTGTTGGTGAGCTCTGTGGGCTATTTCGACCATGAAGGAAGATCACACAGAAGATACCATCCAGCACAGCTAGGCACAAGTAAGTGTTATCTGTAAACACAAGAATTCCACATTAAAAAAGAGGAAATCCGTAACTTTTGATTGCTACATGATTCTGAATTAGACTCCAGAGTTTCCAGCCCAGACTGGAACATTTTCTACTGTTTTCCAAGTTTAACTGGTTCTGAATTTTTAGGTAGTCAATTTAAAAGCATTAAATTGACAACACTCCTTAAAAATAGATAAGCTGAAGACAAATCTGGTCAATGTCATATACTTACTCGAAGTCTTCTCCGAAGCAACGATTTTCCACTCATGCTTAGGGCTTTGTACTGTAGCATTTGGAGAAGAGAGACATCCAGTGGAACTGCTACTTATCTGCTTATGGCCATTCTCACGTGGTGGCTTTTTCTGCAAAATCAAAAGGTAGCTACAGAAACCTAGCCAAAGACCATACCTGGTGTACCTTTGTTACTGAGCTATTCCATATCACACTGCCAAAACACTGAATAGTTTCCACTTATATAGGACACTTAAGAGCGCACTAAATCTAACACAAACCACCACTTTCAAATCGACGCAAATTACAGGCATACTTGTATCTCCACTTAATAAGGACACAACTATACCTAACTGGTCTGGTCAGGAAAAAACTCAAACATTTCAAATCACATGCTTCAGATCAAGTGTCGAAATGGTATCTCCTCAACGGGGATGGGGATGGGGAGGAAGAAAAAAAGCAAACTAATTCACATAAGCTCATTTTTTTTTTTATATTAAGTACAGAATCTCCCAAAAGACATTCTAAATTTAAAATGGCATTGAGTTAATTGAGAGAATATTTAACCTCCCATCTCCAACAAACTGTCAAATCTAACTAAAGTATATAATGTATCCTTCATACAATGCCAGCAAAAAGTGAGCAGGCATAGGTTCATCCAGTCTCTCTCAAAATATTTTACAGGAAAAAGTGGCAAACATAAGAAACACTTAAGTGTACTTCCTTTATGGCTGGTGTTATGTATAGGTATCATATAGTGGGATTCTCTAGACAATACCATATCAGAACACAAAAAATTTAAAAAGTAGTAACCAGAAATGAAATGCTAAAAGAACCAAATATTCATAAAAGTATAATATACAGGAACACCGACAAAGGGAAAAATGGCCAAAGCTGCCAATTCAAAGAAGAACCACATACATTCTCATATATAAGCTTCTTTCCATGGCTTTCTTCCAGCTAGCTACATGAGCCTTTGCCACTTCCAAGGAATATGATCATTTGGAACTGAAAGAGTCAAGAGTACCCTGGGAGAATTGCCAACTGACAGGTACCAGCTTCAGTACTTAACCCACTCTGCTCATTCACTTACTCTGGTGCCCAGGGCCCAATCACATG